GCTTTCTTCACCACATTTGCCTATTCACCCGCTTTGTCTTCAGCGGTTGTGTCGGGAAGGTGAGCATCATAGAATGCCAATTTAACAGAAGAAAGTATTCTTGTGTTGAGGGAGTACTTGAGTGGAGGGCCTTCATACTTCTACATCTCACCTTGCCTGGTTTATGTGGTGGGGACGGTAGGGGGGGATCCCATCTCCCTAAACAGATGGGAGACTATAAAGCCAGTCGATCACTGAGCTCTTATATCCCGGGTCATCAGAGCAGTAGCATGGCCCTGGACCCATGGGAGATTTCAGGGCAACCCCCACCCCTTCAGTCCACCTGGTGAACAGAAGGGGAGACATGCTTTCAGCTCTCGCATGGGCAGAATTCAGCTTGAGAGTGCAGGTAACGTCTGCATCCTGGGCAGAGCCCGTCTGGTCTGCTACTCAGATTCATCAGGGTCAAAAATGACAGTAAACGTTTCTTGGCATTAACAGGTTAAGTGATGCCTGAGCTCTGCCCTTGCTTCGCTCCGTCCTTCCGCTGAGGACCACCCATATGCTGTCTGAGGCCACCCAGGCCGACAGCTGTTCACTGCAGCACACGCATGCCCTGAGCCCTTGTTTGTGCCTAACCTTGTGTTACAGACCTGTGGAACGCCTCCAGGGGCCTCCTGCTCCGAGACGGAATGCGGCGGCCCCAACTGCAGGACCGATGAAGGAGAGAGAAAGTGTGGGGGGCCTGGCTGTGGAGGTCTGGTCACTGTGGCGCACAACGCCTGGCAGAAGGCCATGGACTTTGACCGAGATGTCCTGAGTGCCCTGGCTGAGGTGGAGCAGCTCTCCAAAATGGTAATTCAGCCCCTGTCGTTGCTTGCTTGCTTCCAGTTGTGGACTGGAGCATCCGAAAGGGATCAGCCAACTCAGTGCTGCGAATTCCACAGTGAAGTATGAAAGTCTGTGTTTATGAGGTCAAGGGAAGGAGAGATGGGGACGTTTTAGTCACAGAGAGTTTAAAAGAATTTGCTCTGCTCTTAACTCCTAGTGGGGAATATCATGTGCTTTACAGCAACAAGCCTAAATCTCACACTAGCGACTTTGATATAATTGTGCTACTTGCCGTGAGTCCAGCCAGCTATACCTACCTTCAACCTGCACCAAGCAGTTGAGCATTTATTCTTCTAAAGTGACCCTCACCTGAAGTATTGATGTTGGTGACACTGAGCCAGACTGGGGAGTGCTGTTTAGGTCATGAAATGTTTGTGAGAAGTTTGACAAACTGAAAGAAACCTTGAGATTCTACGTGCTAGGCCTCTCCATATAGAAATACTGGATACTTCTAGCCTGTAAATAACCTTTGGCTGAAGGTGAGAAGTGTTTCCAGAAGCGCATGATTCCAATGGCGTGCTAGTTTTTCAGCCTCATTTTCTGGGCCATTGCTTCGGTGAGGGAGGACCTGTCCCAAGAGTAATACGTTCCTCCTGTTTAGGTCTCTGAAGCCAAACTGCGAGCCGACGAAGCCAAGCAGAATGCGCAGGAGGTTCTGCAGAAAACCAACGCCACCAAGGAGAAGGTGGACCAGAGCAACGAAGACCTGAGAAGCCTCATCAAGCAAATCAGGGACTTCCTGACCCGTGAGCAGCTTTCCCTTGTCCCTTTCCTCCTGCACACGGGTTTCCACCTTGGCACATGAGACGGTTTTTAGCATATGTGGTTTTCTGTTTGCAAGACCAGGGCTCAAGCCAGCATTTTGGATAAAATCCATTTCTGGCAGGGATAAGGTCACATCTCCAAAGAAGAAAAATCCCCATGATAAAGAGTGTGTCCACCTCTTCAAAAAGCTTATGGACTTATAGACAAATGACCGTCTCCAGTGGTATACAGTTACTACCTTACGGGGGCGGGATACTCAAGTAACAAATCAACAAGCGCAACATTCACTGTGAGAACGGAATTTGGAATTGGTATCAGATTACATAGGAGTTTCATCCCAAGGAACTGGTATGTTTTACTTTGGCATCACTTTGTAACCCTGTTTCCACACACTGTGCCTTTGGTTGACAGCATTGGTGGCATGGTGGGTGACATGTCAGCAGTTCGAAACTCTCAGCCGCTCCATGAGAGAAAGAAGAGGCCTTTTACTCCCATAAAAACTCAGTCTTGAACTCCTGCAGGGCAGTTCTGCCTGGCAGCAGTGAGTGAAAGCGATACCTGTGGTTAAACAGATAGGGTACCTAATTACCCTATGAAGAAGTGTGGGGGTGGGGGGTGATCTATAGATTTTGTAATCCAGCTCATCACTACTGCTGATCAGAGTTTGAGAGATATCAGTAAGGAAGGTTTCGGCTACAAGTTATAGAAAACCTTCCAATGAAATTCAGTTCACATCAGAAAAGATGTTTATTATCTCACAAAATAAGCAGTCAGGTCACAGAATCGCTCCATGGTTCAGGGACCCATGTACCACTGCCTGTCGTCTTTGTTCACAGGCTCCTGGTAACATGACTTCATCTAAGAAGTACAATACCCCATGAAAGAGGCCACCTATTCCTTTGCTCTGTTTTGAAAGAGAGGGAAACCTTCCCAGAAGCCTTCAGTCCATCTCATAAACCTCATTGGTCAGAAGTGAGTCACATGTCCGGGCTTAGATGTCACTGGCAAATTACGATTGAACTCTTGAGATAAGTCACTTTATCATAGAGAAGTGGATCCCTAAAGCAAAATCAGGATTCTGTGAACCAGGAGCAGAGAGATGGCTAATAAGTCAGGGGCCAGCGGAAGCCATCATCCACTCCCGTCTTTTCCTGGTGGTAAGGGTTTACCGCTGTTGTTTTTCAGAAAAGGGAGAAATGGGTGACCTCTTTCCATGTTTCACATTTGCCATTTGAAACCCCTTGGCTTTGGCTTCTCTGCGTTCTGGATCTCATCCCTCTTTCTGTACTTTGCTGCAGAAGGTCATTGAGGATTATCGACTCCGTGGCTGCGTTTACCATCGTGTTGTAGCTATTCCTCTAGCCTCAATGAGAAGTTGTCATTGCCTTTTCAGATAAAACTTCAACCCCGGTCTGTCTGGTTTCCCAGTCTAAACCACACAATGCGCTGCTCACTGTTTGTCCATCCAAAAAATGTCCCTCTTTCAGATGAAACCCCGTCAGTTCCTTCATCCTCCCTGAGTCACTACCCCAGCCTGCCAGACCTGGGGGGGGCGGGGGGGGGGGGGGAGTACCCTTCGACTGCGTCCGGCTCAGGTGACAGCTCAGCCGGGAGTGCCTCTCGCTGCAGCTGTTGTGAAGGTGCTCCCAGCAGCAGATGGATGTGAGTGCACATCTTTGCTTTCCACAGAGGAGGGCGCGGATTTGGACAGCATCGAGGCCGTGGCTAACGAGGTGCTGAAGATGGAAATGCCGAGTACCCCGCAGCAGTTACAGAACCTGACAGAGGACATCCGAGAGCGAGTGGAAAGCCTCTCCCAGGTTGAGGTCATCTTGCAGCAGAGTGCTGCTGATGTTGCCCGAGCCGAGATGCTGTTAGAAGAAGCCAAAAGAGCCAGGTACCCGAAGCCCGTGATGGCACTTGGGTGGCTGGTGTTTTTTTCAGTCCACAGCTTGGCGTATTGTGTACTTTTAAGAGTGACCCCTGTGATTTGCCCTGGCTCCTTCTTGGAAGACTCTTCTCTAAGAGAAATGGTCTGCAGGGTCTACGAGGAAGTGCTTTCTCACATTCTCATTTCTTTCCTGGCTCTTTTACTCAGCAAAAGCGCCACAGATGTCAAAGTCACTGCCGACATGGTGAGGGAGGCCCTGGAAGAAGCCGAGAAGGCCCAGGTGGCCGCCGAGAAGGCAATTAAACAAGCAGATGAAGACATCCAAGGAACACAGAACCTACTGACGTCGGTGAGCGGTCCTTTTTCTTTTAAAGTCATTTTATGGGGGCTCATACAACTCATCACAATCCATACATACATCAGTTGTATAAAGCACATTTGTACATTTCTTACCCTCATTCTAATTATTTTATTGAGGGCTCATATAATTCTTATCACAGTCCATACATATATCGAGTCAAGCACATATGTACACCTGTTGGCCTCATCAATCTCACATTTGCCCTCTACTTTAGTCCTCAATATCATTTGCTCATTTCCCCCCTCCCGCCTGAACCCTTCATAATTCATAAATTACTATAGTTTTGTCATGAGCTGTCCTTTTTCATAGGAGAGCACCCACACACAACGTTCATTCGAGAAGGGGCTTTTCCCAGTTCACCCACAAACAAAATGCTTTTCAATGGAGTATTGAAGGGTTCCTGATTGCAACAGAACTGGCCTATCCATCAGGACACACACTACACCTGAGTAGAGATAAGGAAAACATACATTCTGAAAACACTACAACTTTAAGCCCACTTTTATTTCCTCCCCCACACAAAGCCGATGAACATTGACTGCTGTTCTTCCAGAACATGGCACGTGACCCGGAACTAGCATGAAGTACAGTCACACTCTTAGATAGCAGAGCGTACAATCGACGGAGCCACATGAACGTTTTGGCTTCCCTGTGCATACACAAGTCTTGTTTACATGGCTCCACTGTAGCTTATCGCAGTCCTGGTGGTGCTGTTAGGTCAGCGTTGGCAGTTCAAATCCTCCAGCAGCTCCTGAGGAGGATGGGGCCGTCTGGTCCTGGAGTTTAGCCCCAGAAACCCTAAAAGAGGGTAGAGGTGAGTTGCAGTCCACTCGATGGCAGTGGGTATACTCGATTCAGTGTGCGCTAGTCCTATGTGACGCAGAGACATGAAGTGGAACGCACGCTGCCGGAAAACCACACAATACTTTGTTCAGTGCAGGGGTGCTACAAACCTTACGCAACAAAACGAAACTCTGTATTGCAGAGCCCAGTGAATCTAAATGCATTACAACAAGGTAGCCAGAGTGGAATTGCTCTCAAAAGGTCAGAAACAAGCAACCTACAGGGAAGGCCAGCACCTCAGGTTGTAAGCCGCTCACTCGCCAGAACTTTAAAGTGAATTCAGGTCAAGTGCCCACTTTATTTGGATGGCTTCCTCCTACCAGAACCTACATTGATAGCATGTTGCACACTCTCTGGACAGGCCAGCTAGTAGACACTCTGAACTCAGCTCATCTAGGAAGAGTGTGGGTGGTGACGTTTAGCAGCTCATCCAACCGTGCGTTCAGAGGACACTGAGATGGGATGCTCATGACACTGTGTGCCGTCTCCCTCCTCAGTGACCTCCTGGTTTACCTGCTACCAGATGGCTTCAGTTGCCCACTGATCCAACCTCTACCATCCTCTTTGCTCCCAGGGAAATGTATTGCCAACCACTGTAAATTGGAGGAGGCTTCAAAAGTTAATGGAAAAAAGAATGGCGATCTTTCAATTCCATTTTTCCATAAACTTTAATACCACTCACATAGGGCCCTTTCTTTAGTCTGTGCTCAGTATTAGAAACATAATCTTCCGCCAACAGCTGTCCGTTCTAACCAGTTGCTGTTAATGCTGTACTGAGCTGTGGGTATTTTGTTTGAACCCATCCACCGCTCCAAGGGAGAAAAGGTGGTCTCCTCCGCAGATTTAAGGGGCAGCTCTGTGCTGTCCTAGGGGGTTACTTTGCGTCAGATTCTACTTGACAGCAGTGGGTTATTTAATTGGGTGACTTTTTAGAAGATACGTTTTGAAAAGCAAAATCAGAAATAATGAGCTTGATGCTGCAAGTTAATATGGTAGAGTTTTCAGGGACCTGGGTGAGAACAAGAAGTATGTTTCTGTTACTAATTAGGAAATGCTAATGAAGGCTTATCAGAAACCTTTCACGTATTTAAAAGAAAAACTATAAACCTTATGTTTTTTATAGTTTATCCTGACCCATTCACATTTGACATGATTCTGGTTACTGCTGTAGGCAGGCCCACCTCTGGAGAGTCCATTTCAAATAAGTTCCTTCTGCCCACTTGCTTTGGCCGACGTGTACGACTCTAGTTCTACGAGAACGAGGTGTCCGGTTTGAGTTGTTCTGTTTTGCACCATTGGCTGCATGTTTTTGCCTGTGACTACAGGCCACACCACAACTTTTCAGCCTTTTCAGGGCATTCCTGGTTTCCAGGTCTTCGGCAATTAGCTGGAAACACTCAAACGAACTTTTCAGGTCGTGTCTGAGGCGCTATAACCTCCCTGCAGGAGTTTCACATTTAGAGTTGAACAGAAAAACTAAAACAACGTTGGCGAGTTATAAATCCTCTCCTCCCGCCCACACGAATTTGAAAACTGGCATGGGAATCCCTCTTCTCACATCTGCTTTTACTTGAGAAGGCTCCCCAGCCAGAACTTGCAGGTGGCCATAAAGTGCTTTCTCAACCCACTGAGCCTGCCTGAGGGTGGCTCTTGCTGTTGGCAAGTAAAATTGTTCAGGAATTTCAGCCTAGATCATCAGAATTGGCAAGGGAATGGGTGCGAGACGTTACAGTTTAAAGTTAGGCACTTTTTCCTGTGAACGTTCACTAAAATTGCACTTTCATTTTATTTTCCTGTTAGATTGAGTCTGAAACGGCAGCTTCTGAGGAAACCTTGCACAATGCGTCCCAGCGCATCAGCGAGCTGGAGAGGAACGTGGAGGAACTTAAGCGGAAGGCTGCTCAGAACTCGGGGGAGGCTGACTATATTGAAAAAGTCGTATATAGTGTGAAGCAAAGTGCAGATGACGTTAAGAAGGTAAGTAGAACTCTAACTTTAGCTGCTTCTCTCCTGGATCAATATAGTCTCCTCAGAAACAGATCAGAGGGCCTGTTTGAAATAAGAGTCTACCATGACCTCAGACCCATCCCTCAATCCCAAACTTACAGGAGGGTTTAGAAGAAATGAATTACTTGAACTTCTAGGTAGAAGTCTTAAGCCTATTGAGATTGTACTTCTGTACTACACACCAACTGAAAGACCTTTATGGCTTCTAGTAGCTACTGCTGAACTTCTAAGGCAGGACAGAAAAGGGGGAAGAGTTTACTGCAGGAAACCAGAGCCACCACCCCAGCTCATTTGTAATTACCACCAGCACCCCACTTCTCTGTGGAAGACAAGATACTGTGCAGAGAATGGCTGCGCCAACAAGAAGTATGTATGTCTTAAACACATTCCATTTCTTACTTTGTATGGACGCATGCCCTTTTTAAATTTGGAGATAATGGGTAAAAATGTAAACCAAAACTCCAGTACTGAAAAAAGATATTACTCTGAAGATCACCTTTTCATGTGGCCAGAAGGGTCAGCATCTATGTAAGTGCCAAGATAGCTAGTCCTGGAAATGGAACCAGCAGAGCGTTAGTTAACACCTTAGAGAAAGTGTGACTAACGTCACTGAACAGCTGGTATGGAAATGGTCAAGTTAGAGCCTGAGTTGCTGTGACTGAAAACAAATTGGGGTGTTTAAACAGACTAAATTTCTGGTGATCATTTCATACCATTCGAGTTTTCCTGGAAGTTACTGTAACTTTCAGGTATCACGTAAGGAAAACATTCAGACACCCGCACAGCAGACCTTTCTTCCCCTCGTTTGTTGTTAGTTTCCTGCAGTTCTGAGGTCATAATCCTCCCAGTGGTCTGCTGAGCCTTGCCAGGAGTAGGCCTCCCAGTTCACACCACCACAAGGAACAAACATTTCCACACGCGCAGCTGTTGTTTGAACAGTGTTTCTCCAAAGAATCATTTACCACCACCTCTCCAATTCCACACCCAACTTCTCCAGCCTCACCCACCTTTTTGAATATCCTACCATCTTGGCCTCCCTTCCCACATCTTTTTCACTCTGATACTAATTTAGGACATGTGAAATCTTGATAATCCAGTTACATCCAGGCAGTCCTCCTTCCATTTCTCCAAAGGAGCCTTCTTTAATGTCTGTAAATGTTTGGATCTCAGCAGATCTATTCGACAAAAAAAATGCACTGTAGTTGAGAGCTGAGCTTTGAGTCTGGTTCTCCCGGGGTCAGTCATGCTGGTGAAGTGAACCTGCAATGGGTGAGTTTGTGAAGGTGGGTGTCCCAGAAACGGGATTATGCCGTCACCCACACGCACCACTGCTGTCATCTCCCTGTTGGGAAAACAAGGGCAGCATGCACACGGCACGGCAACCAGCTCCCCTGACTGGCCAGCGTTCACAGCGGCTTTCAGCTTATAGATGGCGTCATCTGTGCCGCTTTGAACATGCTGCTCGCCAGGCTCACAGCAGAAAACCCAGCCTCCCAAAGGTCTCACTGTGCCACTCCTGCTGTAGGGATTCAAGAATACATTCTGGTTACCATTCCACATCACCTAAATTTTTTTAAAAGTCTGGGTCTGTTCTAATTTTATTACATTTAAAGAGCCCTGGTGGCACTCTGGGCAGGGCACTGGTTAGTAGTTCAAACACACCAGCCACTCTGCTGGAGAAACCTGAAGCCGTCTGCTGTAAGTTCGGACTGACGGGACAGCAACCTTGTCGAACCGTCCCTTTAAGTTTCTGACACGACTTAAAATCTTTATGGGAGGCTTATCTTTCTCCCACAGAGTACTCCAACACGTAACCTTCTCACTTTGTAGATAGTGCTAATCATAAAAGGGAGGCACTGCTCAGCTCTAGAGGTCAGTCCACTCCGTGATGAAGCCCGAGTACCCTTGGTGCCCCTTGGTCCCAGAGTACTTGGGGAGCACAACCATATGTATGTAACCACCCAAGCTTGCTGCTGTACATCTGCTTACATACTAACATCATCGTGGAATTGCAGAGCCTGGAAGGGGAACTCGATGAGAAGTATAAGAAAGTAGAAAATCTAATCGCCAAGAAGACCGAAGAGTCAGCCGATGCCCGGAGGAAAGCAGAAATGCTCCAAAGTGAAGCGAAAACCCTTCTGGCCCAAGCTAACAGCAAGCTGCAGCTGCTGAAAGGTAGGCCATGTTTGGTTAGCCTTCCAGTCAGAGGAGCGGTGGTCAATGTAGATAATTAACTGGATTTATATCTTCATTTTCTCTCTCCCCCATGCCCAGATTTAGAGAGAAAATATGAAGACAATCAAAAATATTTAGAAGACAAAGCTCAAGAATTAGTGAGACTGGAGGGGGAAGTCCGCTTGCTCCTCAAGGACATAAGCCAGAAAGTTGCTGTTTACAGCACCTGTTTGTAATGCGGGAGGAAGGGCTACAAGTTTAAGAAGCTGAGGTGACCAAAGTAACAAAATAATGCCTACATTTTTAAAACCCGACTTAATGCTCTTCAAAATAAACTCACTATTTAATGTTTTTAATTACCAGATTTTGTATGGAGTTCAATAAAGTACAGTGTTTTTGTATAAATAGCTAATCTGTATAATTCTTTAGTTCGTGTCTGTGAATCTCACAAAGAATGTTGTTTGCACTGCAGCGACAGATGTATAAAGTTGTGCTGCCTCCTGGGAGAGCCTACTTCCTGTTGTAGAATACAAGCAATTTCAGGATAACTGGGGATTTCTCTTACCAACCTAGAATGAGGCTTTCATGAAATAGGGCCAAGTTATGGACCTTGCCATGCCAGTTCAGCTGTTGTCAGAGTGCAGAATGATGCTATACTTTCTCAGCTTTTGTGCTTTAATTTAATTGGTTTCATTGTTAGCATCTATGGGTTTGACCAAAGCAATCCTATAATAACCATATACTTTATCCACAGGCTTAAAAGCTGGAATGCAATTAGTAAGCCTGTGCCAACCTGGTAGATGAGCTAGCTCTGGGTATCAGTGCAGTCCCTAAAATGGTTTTTCATACATTCTTCCTAAAGCGCGATGACTGTGTGCCATTTCACCACCCACACGCACAGCTGCACCTGAAGCTAGGCCTGCCTGGACTGAAGTTATACAAACCAACTATCACTTTTATTTAGGATAAGAATCCTAATAACTAGTGAAAACAGTTCTGCCTCAGCAGCTATTGAAGCAACTACTTTTCCTTAGCTGTATTTGACTCCCTATTCCTTACATTTGTAGCTGATGCTAACTCTCCCGTCCGTACCTGCAAAACAACTAAAGATCTCACCATTGGACAATCTAAGACTACTGAAAACCGGACCTAAGGCCACTATATATGAGCACTTAACAGTTACAAGCATGAGTAACTACTACCTACCACTGGGGTTCCAGTCCATGCACGCATGGGTGTAGTCCAACTAAACACCTACACCTCTCTGCCGTTAGTGGGTGACCACCAGCAAGGTTCCTCAGTAAACACTTGCCTTAGTTCCGTCAGGTGTCCTTGCAAAAAAAAAGATACTTAAGCCACGGCGGGGGGGAGGATTTTGAGGTCGGGACTAATGTCAAATGTTTTAAACAAAACTCATTTTCCTGAATCTCTGTAGCTTTGCAACAAGTTTATGAGAATACTGCTGCCTTTTAGTTTTCAGCTAGATCAGCATTTTTCAAACTGGGAGGTCAACTCAGGTTACAGCAGTTGTTTGAGAAACTCAGTCAAGGTTCCCTCTTTGAGATCCCCCAAAGGACACAGGACAATCACAGACTTACTGGGGAAAGTTTCTAAAAGACTGACCAAAAATAAGGAAAGTTGTGCCAGACAATGTTTTCCCATCACAGCAATGCATCTGCCATTCACGGTTGTCAGAGAAGTCCACTGGGAAACACCCCATCTACCCTACACGTCCCCAATCCTGCCACCTCGGTCTCTGTTCTTCAAACGTGTTCCTGTAAATTGAAAGCACTGACTCCTTCAGGGAAAGGTTAACTGGAAACACTGCCTTCATGAGTATATAGCTAGCTGAAGAATGTTGAAAAACAATCGCTTCACATTTTGATTTTTAGTAAAGGGTTCTATGATTTGTAATATTTTATATCTATCTCTAGGTGTGATTTCCTATGATCTTTCAGTATTACCCAGATTGTGAGCCCCAGTGAAGAGGGTTACGCATTACTAGGCCGCTAGCCGGAAAATGCAGTTTGTCACCAAGTACTCAGGGAAGAAAGACAAGACTTTCTACTCCTATAAAGAATTAGTCTCAGAAAGCCTGACAGCAGTTCTACTCTGCCTTTTACATACACACACACACACACACATGTGTGAATACATGGTTGCTAGGAGTAATCAGTTTAATGGCAGTGTCATTTTTAAAAGTTCATTCCTTTAAAAAAAAAAATCCCTGATCAGATGGGAGACATGTTTGAAATTTAAACAAGCATTTTACATAATGTTGGGGCTACTGGAAGACTTTTAAGAGGCAGAGTACTTAAAAGTAACAATGTAGCACTAGCAACACAACCCTCCTGTGCTAACAACTGTTAACTCTGAGTATGAGAGAAGAAAAACGATAAAGGTGCTAACAAGCTAATAGCAAGTAGTAGAAAGAAGTTGACCTTCAGAAGGCTGAGTGTCCCATTTTAACTCCCTTTTCCTTTGACGGGACTACGCAGCACAAGGACCACACTAAAACCCAACACTGCTGGACAAAGAGGAAAATGTGACTCACAGGCAATGCGATCAAACCCTGACAACAGCTACACATTTCCTTGCAGGTGGGTCTTGAAGGTATCAAGACAGCTTTAATGTGGCCCTACAATGTGAAAAGAGATATTGTTAGTTTATACATTCTGAATCACATCTGAGATCACAGGGGCAAGGGTATACGCTACGGGTAGTCATAGAAGAACTCAAAGGACCATCTTAGAATAACCAGTAAATGAGATTTATTCCCGTATCTTCACAGTCCCCGTGTAACATAGTTCAGTGCCCATTTGAGTTCTATAGGTAAACCCCATTAATACAGGTGATTCCACAATGATCCTTCAGACCTGCAGACCTCAATGGAACCCTTAAAATCTTTTATCTGCTGTGAGAATTCGGGGTTAAATAAATGAAAACATCGGGGAAAGGTGTTATTTACATCATCTCAGTTTACCGTATATACTTGTGTATACACCGAGTTTTTCAGCACATTTTTAATGCAGGTTTTGTGGTAAAATTAGGTGCCTTGGCTGATATTCGGGTCGGCTTATACTCGAGTATGTACGGTGTACATATTTTTGACTCGTTTTAATGGCTTGTTTCTGAAATGAAAACCAAGTTTAAAATAACTTGATCATCTTTCTTCAAGCACGGCGGTTCATATGCTGTACTCTAGTTCCATCGTGTAGGTTAACCCAACTCCAGCCATCAGAGGTACTGCTTTATATAAACTCACTGATGCGGACCCTTTCTTAGAAGCATGAAAACTTGGGTTGATGGATTTTCCAAGATGCTATTATAAGTGGCACTTTTCCTGTAACATGAATGCACTGAAACAAAATGTAAGTTTATTTAAATTATAGATGTGGGATTATTCCATCCTGTCCAACGCTTATTAAACATCCTCCAAAAGTTTCTTAATTCAGTCCTAGAAATTCTTGGAGCTGTGAGCATTTCCTGTTCAGAAATGTGACTTCTATAAAATCTCCCAGGACATTTCAGGGAAAACAGCACTGATCTTCTAAAAGTTGATCGGTTTTCCAAATGATGCAGCCAGGTTTGCTTCTCTGAAAGCTTCTGATAAGGTCTGCAAGGAAAGATGTGCACCATTAACAACAGTATCCATGAGTTAAGAAATCCGAGGAACTGTTAATTCTGTGTATTACTAATAATTACCGGATGTGCGTGGCACACTCTTGCTATATCTTCACAGGATGCTCCATATTCCAAAGCCAGGGCAGCTTCATTTACCATTTCTCCAGCACCCTTTAAGATAATATGCCAAGTCATTTCATCCCCTGGCAAAGACAACTATATGCTCATAGAATGCCTGATGGTTAAGAGAACAGGACACGCTCAACCGTAAGAGTTTCAGTTTGTTGCTCCAAATGCCTTTAAGAAAAGCTTACTTGGCCAACAATTAAGCTTTGAGAATAGATATCTGTGTACATGTGTGCACAGAGACAGGTTTATCTGTTGGCATATGTACATAGAGGTGTGTGCGCGCACATGCATGCTTATGTATTTGTACAATAAGCCACAAGCAGAATATAGTCCATGTACTTCTGAGAAATAACACCCTGTGAGAAGACTTCTGGATTCAAATGCTTTGGACCAAAGGTGGTCCTGTAAGATAAAGTAGTTAATAGGTACACTGTAGTTCATAAAAGTACACTAATAATTCCAATGTGGCGAGTCATTTCTGGGATTTTAAAAGGTAGCTGTCTACCATACAACTTTTTATCTCTCCTCACTTGGAGCAAAAGAGCAAAAGGGAAACCAGAGACTCAAAGGAGAGACTGGTCTACAGTCTGCCATGTCCACACCTAGGTTCCGGAGCTCCCGTGGCCTACTTCCCCCTTTCCAGAAAAATGACTCAGCACAGCGCTGGCAATTGGACACTTTTGTCCTACAGCCCAATATCCAAGATGAAGTATAGGTGTCTGCTTTTGCAGCCTCCCTGGACTGTTCCCACACACACACCACCCCCACACCACCCTACCCCCGACTGACATTGTGCACTTTGAGAAACACTGGTCTACATGAATCATATCTATCCTGAAATAAATGTCCAGCTGCCACTCACTGACCATTCTGATCATTTTTTAAAATTCTTAAATTCTCCAAACTAGAGAACTCCCTACAATGTAGACACCGGGTGCTGGTTTTAGGCTAACTTACTAAATAGCTATGCTTTTCAGGAATCCTAGTGGCAATTCTCTGGCTTTGTTAGGACTCACCGGCCCTAGAATATGTGCTCCCAAAACTCTGTCCGTTGATTTCTGCCCAAGAATCTTCACCATGCCATCTGTGTCGGCATTCGTCTTAGCTCTGCTGTTAGCAGCAAACGGGAATTTCCCGACCTTGTACTCGATGCCCTGTGACACAGAAAATGACAGCCCACATAAACGAGGGGACCAGTCACACCCACCGGTGAAGTCAACTACCATTTGTTCAGAAAATAAATCTCCAGATGACAATTCTTCTAAGACCACGTATAAGGAAAGACTACATGCTAATCAATTCAACTTTGGGGTATAAATGCAAATGTCTATCTGCTTAAATTTCAGTATCAAAAAAGTTCTACCATGATTAGTTTTTGTACCACACAGGCAATTCACTCTTAGATTTATTACAGATAAACTTAAGGAGTGAGTGATCTCCTTGACAATGTTAACAAAAGGGAAGACAGGGTATAAACCCTGGAGCATGTTCTGCCTCGTGTATTCTCAACAGCATTTTTACACAAATAATACATTCGAGGTTTGTCCACACCACACAGTCCCCTCACACTTTACTTTCTTATGTACACTCTGTGTGTTGTATGCAAGGGTGCCTTATTTGTGAACACGTGGTGTTTAAAACTACATAAACCAGTAATATTCTAGTTATTTAATGCAATAACAAAATGCCTTTGTGCTCAACCATCAGTGTCCATTAGCCCAATTTGCACAGTAATGTAAAGCCACCAAGTTCAGGATTACCTCCTCTTTCAACTGCTCCTCGGACTTGCCGACCCAAGCGACCTCAGGATGCGTGTAGATCACCGAGGGAACACAGTTGTAGTCGATGTGCACAGCACCCCCGGCCATGCCTTCAACGCAGATGATGCCTTCATCCTCTGCTTTGTGAGCCAGCATGGGACCAGCAACCACATCACCAATTGCATAAATACTACCACAGGAATCAAAACAGACACAATGAGTCAAAGTCTAAAATCTCAAGTACACTCATCTTCAATAATACTGTGGTTTTTTAAAAACTTTCTAGTGATTAGATCGCCAAAAATATATCAAATACAGTTCTTCAAAGATCTATGATTTTGTTCTAATCTTTCAACAGTGAGGAAATTCAAAATTATTCTTATTTTATACCTGAAGTTTATTATCCTTCTCCAAAGTCATGTTTCAATGTATGACAACAGTTTTATTTTAAAATAGTGATGTGTGAGATAAACTTTAAAATTACTGAAAATACAATTTTCCAACTTACTTTGGAATTTTAGTTTGGAATCTGGTATTCACTGGAATTCTCCCTCTGGGATCTAGTTCAATTCCAAGTTCTTCTAGTCCCAGATTCTGAGTAAAGGGTCGCCGGCCAATGCAAACCAAGAGTACATCACAAGTGATAACTTCAGCTTTACCGCCAGAAGCAGCTTCAATACTAGATAGTGAGTAGTGTTATCATTGTTAAACACAAATCTACACAAATGGCTTATTTTGAAATTTAAGACCAGAGATTGCTCAATGATGATATTTCTAACAAGGTTTATTTTATCACAAGCATAACAAGGATTAAAACAAAACAAAATAAAACAAAAGAAACTCTGTGTCATCAAGTCAATTCTGGCTCACTGAGACGCTGTGGGTCTCCGAGACGGTTTAACTGAGTAAAAGGTGCCTCCTCTTTTCTCCCTTGGTGCACTGGGTTAGGCACTGAATACACACACACCCCTACTAGAGGTCTAGCACTCAAACCCCACAATCTGCAGAGACTGTGACTGGATTAACTGTCCCTGCGGGGGGGAGCGGCAGGGAAGGCTGCGGTAAATGAGAGCCAAGGTGAATGCAAAACATAAGAAATGTCTCAATCGGACTGTGGTCGTGACTGGACAACTCTTCTTGATACGACTGAACTAATGAACTGTACAACGTGAATTATAAGCTAACAAACCTACTGGGGAAAAAAATCATAAAATAGGCCGTGAGCCCAATGGTGGAGAATATAGGTCATAAAAGTCAGCAAGATTCATATTCTACTCTTGGCTCTGCCGCTATTTAACTTCATGCAAGTTACTCACTATATCACGCAAATCTTTAAAATGTAGAGTTTTGGGCACGTAGTAAACTAATAGTATCAGGGATTTTCATAGAGTTATCTACAAAGATTTAATTAAACTTGATGGAAGTTCTAAAATTGCAAAATATATATTCTGAAAAGGTGTATTATAATATCAATTTAATGTTTCCATCAACTTTATAATGAACTTTAATGGAGCAATGCAACAAGCAATATTGAATTATATTAAGCATTAATGTAAACTTGAGTTTTTAAAAAAAAACTGTAATCTGCTAATGTGATTTTAACATTTGAGTGTTCTTACGAGAACCGAGAACCACACAGATAAGGATGATAAATAAAAAACAAATACAGCATACTTACGAAACATCAATTTTCCCATCTGACTTCTTGGTAGCACCAGTAACCTTTGTGTTCAATTTAAACTTAAATCCTTGTTTTTGAAGGATACGTTGAAAGTTCTTAGATATCTCCATGTCAATTCCAATTCCCCCAACATGACCCAGAAACTCAACTGCTGTCACATCTGCACCGAGCCTTTGCCAAACTGAGCCCTGCAGATAACCACCATCAATCAATCGATCTGTATTTCTTTAGCAACTCTTTAATAAATCATCTTCAATCATTTCCTATATTTTTTCTTTTGTTAGCATATTCCTATTACAAGCTCTGAAAGGTTTACAATGAACATTGTGGCAAACAAATATAATGGGGCTTTCAAAAAGCTCATGGGAAAATTGAAGAGAACTTTTCCCACACACTTTTGAAGCCCACTTGCATAACTCCACATTCCTGGAGCACCTACCATGTGCCGCAGGGCCCAGTGGGTACATGTTCATCAGTTGCTAATGGAAGGGCCGCAGTGTCTCCCCAGGAGAAACATGTGGCAGGCTGCTCCATAAAGGAAGGGCAGTCAGAATGAAAATAGAAATTAAAAAAAGAAATGTCAAGTTTCAATACTGTGGCCAAAAAGGGCCTCATTGTGAGCAACATTTGTGTAAAGACAAGGAGGAGTGAAGTGCCCGCCCTGGGGGAACAGAGAAGGCTCCAAGCAGAGGAGCACCCGAGCACGAGGGTCCTGAGGAGAAGGGCGTCCCTACTACTACCAGTTGCTGATACTTGTAAAATACTAAACAGACTTTGTAGTACGCTTGCTTTTGTAAACCAAAAGGCTTTACCCAGAAATTACATTGAAAGGCATTATGTACGCATCCACGGAAGCTGTGTCAAAAGTTAGCAAATTTGTTTAGTTTGGACACCACTCACAGGTGATCCTGACAGACTGGACTAATCAAATGGATGACAAAATGATGGATCTGGTATCTACAAGACGGAAGAATTTCGCAAAGCCAGGCAAAGGAGCCTCAATACCAAGAACACGCAGCAATCCGATGGTAGGAGCTCAGTCTTATGGCAGACAGAGCCACACGGAGATAAAGGCAAGGGAGAGAGACAGTGACAAGGTGTACTGATGACTCAGAGAACCTTAAATGCTGATGATATCAACAAGTGTTTATATGGCAGTAACAGTAGTAATAAGAGGTAGAAAAGCTGTGATCTTGTGGTACCTGTACACAGATCAAAGCAGTCGTTCACACATAATAATCTGGAAAGGATGTGTCGAGGTTGTATCCTTTTACCACATACATTTAACCTGAAAGCTAAGGAAATAACCTAGAAACTGGACCTTATGAAGAAAACTCAGCCTCAGGGCTAAAGGGAGGCTGCTCACTGATGATCCTCGAATACAGAAGACACCCCTTGCCTGCAGAAAGCCAAGTGGGCTAAAAGCACACACTGAAGACGACTGAAGACGGCAGTCTTCCGTATGGATTACACTTTGACACAAAAATGTTCACCACCGAGCCAGCAAAAAACAGCTCACAGTATGTGAACAAAAGACAGAGTTGCGAAGGATTTCTTTTTCCTTGGATCAACATTAGTGCCCATGGGTGGAAGCCGCAGTCGAGACATCAAATGCTGTACTGTACTGGGCAAATCTGTTGCACGAGACCTCTTTCAAATGCTAAAGAGCCAAGATGTCGCTTTGAAGACTATGGTGGTATGCCTGACCCAAGTGATGCTGTTTTCAATCATCTCATATGCATGAAATACGAAGACCTGAGAAGAACCGATGCACCTGGCCTGCGGTGCCGGTGAAGGAAGCGGAAAGCACTGTGGATGCCAGAACAAGAAGCCCGTCCGTGGTGAAGGAGCACAACCAGAGCTTGTCACAGAAGCAAGGATGCCCAGATTTCCTCTCACATACTGGGGCAAGCTCTCAAGAGGGCAAAGCCCCTGGAGAAGAAGAAGCTTGGTAAAGGATCCACAGAAACGAGGAGGATCTTCAACGAGCTGGAGTGAAACACTGTCGACACCAAGGGGCTGGAGCATAGCAACCACCGTGTGGATGGCGCAGGACAGAGCAGGGTTTCGTTTTGGTTTTACACAGGGTCATTAGGAGTGAGACCCGACTGGCCTGCAACAAGAACACACATGAGAGTACCAGGCACCACTGTGGTTAAGTAAGTTCCCTCAAGTCATGTATATTCATGAGACTCCATGTGACTGGTGAGGTTTTCTAGGCAGTAATTTCCATGAGACCGATTGTCAGGTATTTGCAAATGCCTACTCAGAACACAGACTGAGAGGCAGGCTGGAAATGAGACTGGCATGATAGCCAAGGTCAAGTCAAGCTGGATTTCAAGCAACAATTCAAAATCTGGACTCAACCCAAAAGTAGCAGTGAGTCACTGAAGGGCTGGCTGTAAGGAGAAAGAGCACACAATGAAATGTGTGTTTCAAAGAGACCACTCTGCCCAGGATGGGGAGAACAGATGAGGAAAAAGCCAGGGAGACTAGGACCAGGCCTGGGGCTGGTCGGAGGATCTGTGTAGTATGAATGAAAAGCAGGTTTATTCAATAGAGTAGAATCACATTAGAACTCAGAAAGTCATATGTAACCCCCAAACCTCTATCAGCCTCTACATGGATTGCACCAATCACGAATATGGGAAATATATAAAGAAAATCCGGTTTCATTTGTCTCAAGGACTTTAGATGTACTAATGGTGTGCCTGTGAGATGCACACAAAGGGATCCCTGTAGCTAATAAAAGCCCAGAAACAAGCGAGGATGTTAAAGGTGATATTGGGATGCAGGCATGTGTGCGGCCGAGGCTAACTGAGCGAGGTGGGGGTGGAGAGTACAGCCTGTGAGCAGACAGGAGGATCTGACAGGCGGGGAAAGGGGAACTTGCAGCGAGAAGGAAGGCCGTCCCAGAGCGGTGTCACACCAGCAGAGTCCGGTTTCAGAGAAGCTGGGGGGAAGTCCCAAAACCACGAAAATCAGCAATGCTGACGACGGCCAAATGAACCTGAAGAAAACAACCCACTGCATTTGGCAACACGTCCACTTGTGCCCCGCTACGAGTTCGGGAATCCATTAAGTGAGCAGAAGTTCGTGAAATAGTGTGGACAGCAATCCCAGGGTGTTTGGGGGTGAAGAAAAGGAGAGCAGGAAAAACGCCGGGCAGACAGACGGGGTTAAGAGAAGGCTTCTTTGTGTGCACATGGCTGTGTCTGTGCAGTGCTTGCGTCTGAACCTGTGTTCGTGGGTGGCAAAAAGCACACACATACAGGCATGTTTGAAGTAAATGAGAAAGTTGAAGTAAAAAAGGTTTTTTTTAATCTTTTTAATTAATCATTTTATTAGGGGCTCATACAACTCTTATCACAATCTATACGTACGTCAACTGTGTAAAGCATGTCTGTACATTCAGTGCCCTCATCATTCTTAAAACATTTGCTCTCCACCTAAGCCCCTGGCATTAGGTCCTTATTTTGAAGTAAAAAAGCTTGAAGACTAAAAAGTGCAAGAAATAAAAAGCCTATAAATCACAAACCCAAGGCTTTAAGATGGCAGGAGCTGATGTGTAATGAAGGGACAGGTAATAGGACTCCTTTAAAGAAAGCAGCATTTGCTCAGTAAAAGCAGGAAGACGAAAAGGCAGTGCGACAGCAGGTATGGGCTTTAATTCTGGGGCAATCCCTCATCAAGTTGAGGAAGCCATCATCGGATGGAGTCTCTTCTATGTGACGTTTAGGAGACAACACCAGCTGTGGGCAGGGGAGCAAGACAGGCAGCACCCGAGGTTTCAGAAGAGTGGTGGATGGAAAAACAGTCACTGCAGAGACCAGGAACGGGAGCCAGGAGACAACAGTGGGACTGCCAGCATTCCTGACCCAAGCACAGAGGCACCAACCACCTACAGGGTTGTGTGTGTTTCTCTCCAGGTGCAGTCAATAGCCTGGCTCCACCATTAAAAAGGAGATAGTTGGTTCTAAAGTTGATTGTGGTGGTGATTGAAAAACTCTTTTGAGCAGGAAACCAATGGAGAGATCTGAGGGGCCAGCCCCAATCTCAACTACGTGGACAACAACCCCCACTCGACCCCTGCAGAAGAATTCACTTCAGAGGACAGTACTGAAGCTACAGCTCAGGGAGAAGGACATTTCTGATCAGAGCACACAAGAGCAAATGAAGGGGGAGGAAGAGAGAATGGAGAACATCCTGGCACACCCAAGCCTTGAGGTCGAATTCCCTCTCAGAGCAGCCAAAGCAGAGAGGACCATAGGGCCAGCCCCACTACAAGACACAACGTCCCTCACTGACCCATAGCGCTTCGGAGGACAACACTGGAGACACAGTGCAGGAATTGTGCCTGATTTGACCCCACCACACTGAGACAAAACACTAAGGGTGTGCAACAGAATTAGCAAGGGGATCAGAGCAATGAGGTCCCCAGGGAATATCAAAAACAGACTGGGGTCAGGGTGTGGCACCCCATCAGACGAGAAAACACTCCTAAAGGTAAACAAACGGACCTCGACCTATTAGGTCTTTTCTTTTTTTGTCCTTGGTTTTTGTTGTTATTTACTTTTGTTGCTTTGTTTTGCTCTCGTTTTTTGTGATTATTACCTCTGCAGGGCTATCTAGATAAGATAGGCAGAATTAAAAAATCTGGAGAAAACAACGGGACGAGGGGATATGGGAGATGGGGAGGCAGGGTAAAGGAAGTGGGTATTAACAAACCCAGGGACAAGGGAACAACAAGTGATCCAAAAATCGATGGCGAGGAGGGTATAGGAGGCCTGGTAGGGCTTGATCAAGGGCAATGTAGCCGAGAGGAATTACTGAAACCCAAATGAAGGCTGA